TCATTAACTAAATGACGATGTCGACCATCAGCTATAATAATCAAAAATAAACAAATATTCAAGATAATTAACAAATAAAAACAATTTATCAACATACCTGATTCATGTTTATTATTTTCATCATTTGATGATCCAAAACCATTTGAAATACTGTGTGCTGTTGATTCTTCTGATGAACATCGACTATTTTCTAAATATATTTAAAACAAAAAAGTTTTTTTAATGAAATATATATGTACAATTATTTACCAATATTTTCTCCTTCTTCGTCAAACATGTAATGATTTAATAGACCATCATTCGTCAGTTTTTTCTTCGATTTTTTTTCATTAATTTCATTCGCATTATTTTGTTGTTGACGGCGTTGTAATTTTTTCATCTAATATATATATATATCAAAAATAATTTCATAAATTTTTTCTATTTCGTTTTTTTTTTTCGATGAATTATTTCAAACTTACTTTTGCTCGTTCATTTTGAAACCATACTTGTACTACACGAACTGATAAACCAGTTTCACTTGCAAGACCTTCTCGAACCTGTTGAATATAAAAATAAAAATAAATTAATCAATTGCAATAATTTATTTATATTACTTTTCGACATGGTTTTGAACTAACATCAAATGCTTGTTTAAATTTACGTCGTTGTACTGATGTTAGAATAGTTCGTGGACGTTTAGGTCCACGACCATTTCGTAAATGATTATGTCCAGATTGATGTACACCAGTACTTAATGTAACAGCATCAGATGAACAACAATCATCTTCATAACTATCTTCTTCATCACCTAATCAATAAAAAATTTCAAGTGTTTATTTTTTTTCTTTTCTTTAATTAAATAAAATTCAACTTACTTCGATTACATCGAATTGTAGGTTGTTGATGATGTGATGAAATAATTTGTTGTTGTGATTGTTGATGATATTGAAAGTCGGCATGACAAAGAAGTAAACCATCACGATACATATAAGGATCACCTTTATGCAAATGATCATCACATAGAGAACATCTAAAGCATTGTAAATGAAACACTTGACCCGATGTTTTCATTATTATTTCATCCGGTTGAAGAATTGCTTTACATCTTGAACATCGCATACCGAATATTCTAATAGATTAAATAAAATAAAATTATCAAAATATAATTTGTTATTTTTTATTTTTTAAATATATAAAAATAAAAATCAATCAACACTTGACTAATACAATAGGGTTACCTATAAGAGATAAACACCTGTGCTCTACACTCTCAACTGTCAATCTTTCTCTTTTGCGAAACTAGAAGTTTTTTTCCCTACCTATTGTATACATCTAATGACAATGGATACTGCTCATAATCAATGTCTGCTCTTTCTCATTCTTATTGTCGCATTGCCTGCCATATGAACACTTGAAAAAAACGAGCAAGAGCATGAACGATCGATTGTCGCACACATAAGTATCTCACTCAGTTTCTCCGTCATCAATTGAACTGGAAAAAAGGAGTAAAGAGAGGGAAAGGGAATATGTAGTAAAGGTCTGTCTGTGCATGTAAATAAGCAACATACAACAATTGACAATGACGAGCACTTGAGTAACGAAAGAGAGCAAGAGAGACGGATAGAGAGAAGAGAGAGAGAGAGAGAAAAAGATCGAGAGTCAAAAGGTGTATATGCACGTGTCCTGTCGATTCTCATAAACAGTAAAACAGAAGTACTCTTACGCTCGATGTATCTTCATCGATGCCCTGAAAACACATATCGCAGGATGCGCGTCAACTTCCGTTCACAATGACTTCCGTTTTCATATCGGACATATATACAACTCTTTTCTTTTTTAATATTCAGTCCTCGTCTCGGTTTTTTTTTAATGCTTCTTGTCTCTTTTACTGCCTCAAAGAGATACATCTGCATCCGTTTGAAAAAACAAAAAAAAACTGAGCTAAAAAAAAATTCTAATTAAAAAATTATCCTACTGATCTTTGAAATGTTTTGATTGTGCAGTCAGCGATGAGGAAAAAAAAGCAAAGAAAAAGAGAAGCGCACATCCCGGAAGCAATCGATATTACGAATAGATGTGTATATTTGCATTTTACTTACTCAAAATAATCTCTTTTACAATAGATCTTTCCTTCTTTCTGATAACATGTGGCTACCAATGGTTCTTGACATTCAACACAAACAAGACAACGTTCATGCCAACATGTTCCCATAACACATAATAAAAATTGTTCATCGATTGGTAGTGTACAACCTGCACAAATTGTAGGTTTCACTGAATTTGATGGTGTCAACGGTGATTCATGCATTCTGTAATAAAAATTAATTTACAATTAAATAATAAATTTATTTCTACCTATCATATGGACAAGGAGTAATCGGTTGATCAAGAAAATTAGTCAGTTGATAGTGATTATCATCGCATGACTCCATACTCGTTTTCTCCTTCGTTTTCTTTTGTTACTCGAACTAGTTTCTCATTTCCAACAAGGATAAGTGATGATAAGGATGCTCATATACTCAAAATGGCTACAGATGGTATCGTCCTCTTTACGTATTTTAAAATTCAGCTGCTGCCACTTCTTAAATACAGACAAAATACACTGAAAAAAAAATTCTCACCTTTTCAGTCAATTGATGTACTACTATTGATTGGTGGTACGTTAAGGTAGTTGCGTCAACAACTTCTCTGATGAGAATATGTATGTGTGTGTTTCTTGAGAGAGAAATAAGAGAGAAAAGATGGCAAATATTTGCTCAATTCAGTAGCAATGCTCTTTACCGATTGGTTGTATGCAGTAAAAAAAAAAAGAACAAGAAAAGAACATTTATTGTGTTGCCATCATTCATTGGTTGCTTGTTGAAGGAAAAAGAATTGGCAAGAAATATACTGACGTTGGCGTCATGTTCTTTTATATTCGCTTATCGTCTTTCTTTTTTTTTTTTTCTTCTACTTTTTTTTCTTTTCCATACATGAATTTGTTAACGCAACAGAAATATTTTACTGACAAAAAAAAAAAATTGTGAGTTTTTATCAAACTTCTGAAGACATCGAGTGAAATGAAATATCCAGCTTCATTCTTCTTCATAAAATATATAATTGATAGTTCAGAAATATAAATCACTCTAAAATTATTTTTTTAATATTTTCTATGAAGAATAATAAGAACAACTTGAACAGTTTGTAAAGATATCAAAAGTTTTGCTAACATTAAATAGAAAGAAACAATATGTAAAAGAAAATTTTTTTCTTGAATTTAAAATTTATAATGAATAACCTCATAAATTATGGAGAGTAGAACTAATTCTAAATGATTTCGACAATAACCATAAGCAGTAATTAAGAATAATAATGAAGACTTTTCACTTTCATACTACCTGCCTTTGATTTTCAATTCCTCCGACTATTACGTAGGCTTAGTAAATAGAGATTATCAACGCATGGCTAACGAAGAAAGTAGTGTATCGTCTACAAAAAAACCTCCTTCGTAGGTTACTAGACACCTTCCATAAGTATGCAGATGTCAGTAAATAAAAAGTTTTAAATTGAAAAACCAAAACATTACAAAAAATACATTGTTTTGAAATTAATTATCGTTCATAAATTTATTTTAAAGGAGACTATTCATTTTTCATTATATCACCATCAAACATTATTGACTTTTTATATTTTATATAAAATATTTTTTTGCAAAACAATTTTATATGAGACTATTTGACCATCATTACATTTTCAAGATAGATAAAATTCTATAAAATTTGTATATTCTACAGTAGAATCAATAGTTAGTTCATGACGAATTTCAGGTGAACATTGTTTTGTTGAAAAACTTTATCATTAGAAATTCATTTTGAACACTATCATAACAAATTGACATTTAGATAAACGATGCACAAAACAATTCTCATCCGATAGACATCAAAAATAAAATACTGGAATTGACCGAAGAATGTGGATAGGCACATACATAAAGAGAGAGAGAGAGAGAGAAGAAAAGAGAGATGATCCTCGATAAGAAAAATCGAAGCAAACAAATATATCTCTAGTTTAATTGTTTTTCCTTGATTCTCAGTCTATCAATCGCTCAATCTGGTTTGATAAACACATACACACACTAAGATCAATACATAGACATAGCCAGAACACACAAGAAGGTGAGAATCTCAAATGTACACACATATGGATGGCAGTACAGCAGTTATATCTTTATTTACAAATTAATCTATGTGAAAAAAATGATGAAGTTCTTTAACCAACGGGAAATAAACACTTGATTGATTGATCGATTGATTGTCTTATTTTGTGAACATGTCGCATATTTATGGTATTGTTGTCGGTGTTAATCAATCGATCATTACCATCCATTCAATATTTGTGTACGTTAACAAATACAGGTGAAAGTCAACTAGAACTTCTAAAAAAAAGAAAAAGAAATGAGTGGCAGCAACAGAACATAAGATCAAACACATCAGTGCGACATCCGCCGAACGTGATCATCCATGCTATTGACGAATAATGAATGGCATTGTATGGCATTACATGGCATAGGTAAAGAAAGAAAATAAAGAGCGACAATGAACAATCTTGTGCAAGAGACACGCACACTTCCTGACTCCACCTCTTCAATTCTTACCGACCGGAGGTGGGCGCACTTCAAAGATTGTTTTATTCTTTCAATGAATGACATCTGCTTTTGTCTTTCTGTTCTTTATTTTTTTTTATATTTGTTTGTTTTGTTTTTGATAAATAAATGCTATGATACCATCTATCATTGGCGCATTAGAAATTTAAAATTCAAAAATCGCGATTTCGAATCTGTTTTTTTTTTGTTTTCATTGTTCACTTTTCTCATATTCATTTCTAATTCAATCAATTATTTACGTTCACATTAATATATCATACAAATGATTTTTGCTTAATCAATATATAAAAGAATTTCTTTAAAGAAAATATATGTTAAATTTCATCACACAATTAATTAATATGAATATCTAAGTAAAAGTACGAGAAATTAATCAATGCCTCGTCATCTATTTCTTGAATCAAAAACAACTTTATCAACAAATAAAAATATTTTAAATCAATCGGAGAGGTTTGTTAAATTTTATTGTATATAGAATAGGATTTTTGTTTTTATTTAAATCATTCATAGACTTATTTATCATTCACAAACATCAAGAGATAATCGGTAGTTTTACTTAAAAAGAAAAACTTTATTTTTACAGTGATTCATTTGCTATATATAGAATTCATAATAAAGAAAATGATCTAGATGAAGATGATCAACCAAGAAAACATTCACCAAATAGAACAGACGATACATTCATATTTCGAGAACATAGACAAAGATGGTCTAAGGTATATAGAATACACTAAACTTCTAGTAATTATTAATTTCTTTTAAACCTAATAATTTAATTCATTATATTATTCAGAAACAACGATTAGAATATGTTGCAATCATAATACGGTAAAACCTCTCATAGTGGTACTTCGTGATTCGACGAAATGATAACAATGGGCAATAGTTAATTTTTTTATTCATTGACACTCTTCAGATACCTAGAAAACGTGTCTGTTCCTTATAAAAAAAAAACTGTTTCCATAAAAGATATAGTTTCCCTATAGTGGACACTTTTGAAAAGTTCAAAAGGTATTCATTATCGAGAGGTTATACTGTAACTTGTTGAGAAAACATTAGAAATGACATTACGAATTTATGAAGGTTAAAATTAAGCTATAATTCTAAATAGATTTGATGATCTAAGAAGTTTAGTAATAACAGTTAATTCAGTTAAATTTTCCGCCATTGCTATTGAATGTTTTCTTTAATATAATTTTATTTGTTTTTTTTTTCTAATCCTAGAAAAGATATCTAATCGATAAGTATGAATAACCAATAGCATTAGATCTAAAATACATTTCTTTTTGAATCTTCAAAAGTAAATATCTAAAATTTATCTTTAGAATCAATCAACATCTGATAAACGTCAACAACGTCGACCATTATCCAAAATGGGTACTACATTTTCAGGTGCTAGCTCAGCATTATCAGACTCACCATCAACTTTACCTAATGGTATACGATCAAATCTATTCAATAGTCTAAGTCCTTCTCGAGATAAAAATGGAGGACGTATTCCATTATCAACAACAACTTTATTGAATGATTCACGTCCACCACCACGTATTAAAATTCTTGAATTACGTGCTGAAATTGAAAATAAACCAACATTAATCGATGAAACATCATCATCAGTTTTAAAATATAAAACACCACAATTTAAATCACATGTTATTTTTCAAATGCCTGCAATTGATGAAAATCAAAATTGGAAAATTGGATGGATTCAAGCTTGTACACATATGGAATTTTTTAGTAAAATTTAAAAAAAAAACTTATCTCAACCAATTAATTGATTCTGTTATATTTCTAGATACATATGGAGATTATGGTTATACATCATGGGAATTTCCTGAAATGGTGACACGTGAAAAACCATTAATAAATGATAGTGATGGACGAAATTATCCTTGGTATGGTAGTTCACATCAAGTTGTTACTATCAATGGACCTATATCACATACATCAAAATATACAGTTACAATGAGAGATTTTTTTCATCCTTGGTATGTTTAATGATTTTGTATCGAAAGTTTTCGATTATTGGCATGATCAACCATCAGTTACACACATGTGAAGGCGGAGATTTGAATTTTAAATTGAAGAAATCTTAGTCTATTATTTAAAAGAAAACGATCGATTGTATTTGAAATGGACGCGTTCCTATTCTTGAGCAGTATTGAATGCTCTGGACACGTGAAATCTTTCTTGGAGTGACCAACTCGAAAATTCTTCAATTAGTGTTATTAATCAGTCGAATACGAGGTACTCGCTTTCAACAAATGACCTTCATATAAATGTTAGATGTCTACGGATCATCGAATTCTGAACAAAACGAAGTATTTAATTAATCCAAACTGCAACTTTTATTTTTTTCTGTTCGAAAAAGTTGAAAAATTGTTTCTGTTGGATTCTAGTAAAAAATACTTTATTTGATGTGGAGTCCGATGCTAGTGATGAATATCGAGTTGTTTTCGACTTCTTTTTGCTTTCATCTTGATCCGAACTGCGATTTTCAAAAAAACGATAAAATTCTGTAGCAAATACTACTTTTAGTTTGTTATTTGATGCAGTTATGACTGTTAAGAAATGACCTGGTATTCTGAAAGCTTGTTAAAACCTGAATAACTTTTATATAGAAAGTTCATTTGTATGTTGTTTCGTTTCTTAGCAAAATGCTAAAATCTCAGTTCTGCTAAAAAAAAGACCCATTTTGTGAATTTCCGTAACGGTCGGTCGTTTCTGGATAGCTTAGCTCGAGCTAAAAGAAAATCAATGACATTTTTACTGACAGTACACCTAGATGGTCTCTATCTATAATAAAAATTTCAAAGGATTTACTTTTGTTATTGATAAGAAATAGATATCAAAATAAAAAAAAGTTTCATAAAGCTTGATCACGTCGTCATGTTTGATTATGAAAGCAAATCTAAGAAATATTTATTGTTCTATTCTATCTATTCTTATTTTTATTATTGTTTTTATGATTCCTTGGGATATTCCAACGAGTGATGAAGAAATACCACGGTTAACACATATTTATCGAAATCAACATTTTCTTGTATGGCTTGCGGCAATGGATCTTGAATCGAAAGTATAAGATTTTATTTTGAAGATGATAATACTGTTAATTTTCTTTTCTTGTTTTCCGAAAAAAAAGGATATTTATATTCTTCGTACTGTGGAATGGAAGAAACTAATTGAAATTTCTGTCGATCCAAAACGACAACGTGGTCGTCGATCAAAACTTATTTCAGATCCATCACCTGGACAACCGATGATTTATGACGAAAATTTGCCTATTCCAACTTGTGCTCTGTATCCACCGACTGGTAATTTCATGTATTTGGCTATTTTTTTGTTAGACAAGAACAGTTTTTCTAATAAAAAAAACAGCTAATTCCGCTCAAGTATTAGTTTGGCGACCGACTTCAGGTCAACCAACGCTTGTTGTGCCACCTAAATCCATTGAAATCAATACCACGAATTGTAAGTAATCATAGTTATAGAAATATTTACAAGTTTGTATTATTTTTAGACGCTCATCTGCCATTGGCTCGGTACTAAGATACTCTTTTGGTTTTATTTAATTTTGTTGACTGGATGCCAAATATATCAATGTATATCTTTCTTAAATGTTTTATACAGCCTTAATAATATTATTACATTTTGCTCAAGTTAAACTTCAAATGACTATGCAAAGAAGTATCAAATCCAAATAAATTCAAACAAATTTCAAAGTCAAAATAAAACACAAATATTTGCTTGTTTTAAAGATAAAATCTTGTGTTTGAAACATCAAATAGTTAGTCTATTATCTATTCTATTATTGTAAGAATTAAACAATTATGATCAGAATAATATTGATTATCTATTCATTTAGAAAGTTGATGATTCTTTAGGATAGTTTCAAATATTAAACGTATACTCAAGAACTTGAGTCATATGAACAAGTAATGCTCGTCGTCACAACTCGCTAGACCCTCGACTAAATTCCATCTAACTATCATCTCTAACTGTTTACTGGATTCTGTTTTGAGAACTATCGCTGAACATACGTGGCCATATCAAAGAACTATTTATAATATTGCCAGAGAGATAACCGTTTTATAAAAAGATGAAACCTTTCTACTGAGTTTTTCTCATATGAATCTTAAAAGCAAGCTTGCAGTTGGTCGTCGGCGTTCTTACGGACCGCCATTTCCGACTGCTCGATTTCACATATAATCTGGGTATAATTCAAAGTGGTGTTTCATTTTCTTGTTCGGAACATTTAAGTAGTATCCAAGAAACTTATAAAAATGTACTTCTTATAAACATGTTGACTATCAACTGTGGTTAGTCAATGTAATAAGAAGATTAATAAATTTAAAGCAATGTAGCCGATATTTTAGATGGTATAGTGGGAATGGGATTTAAAGGTATGCGATGCTAATTCTCACGGTCTCTCTTTTGGCTAATTCTTTTCTCATAATCCAATCTTGATCATTAGAAAATTGTTGTATGAGGTCTTTTTTGTTTAATACTTGAAGTATCCTGAAATTCTCGTTCTTCATATTTTCTGAAACAATAAATGACATGTCTTCCTTTGATAGGTATGACTTATGCGAATAATTAGTCTCGTAGGCAGCAGAGACTTCATTGTATTTTTGGTTCGATACTCTTACGATTGAAACTCATTAAATAGTTAATATACAGGTAACCCTCATCCTATGGATTCGCTGGTCCATTTCTGAAACATGAAGATGTTGATATGAAAATGAATTGATTGAATACAAAATACAATATTTTGACTTATCTAATATGAAAATATTTTTATTCTATTGAAAAAAAGTAAAAGAAAGCGATAAATGAATATTCCTATTAATTCATCTCTTTTTTTTCTATGTCTCGAATTGCAATATGAACTCATTCATCTTTGAAGGTCAATGGAAATATAATATCTATTGATTTAAATAATGAATAGATTAACTGGAAAGTTTTCTTTTCAACTTGTCGAGCAAAAAAAAAGAAGGGCTAATGTATTGAATCGATGGAAACTTATCTACCATCGTAACAAGATCTTAGTCCTTTGACTATTAAATAATCGATTTGTACGACAATACTCAACTATTAGACTACTTATTTGATGAAAGAGACATACATTCTCTGAATTTTGCTGTCAATGGTAAGCATAGTCACGTCTATTTTCATACAGAATGCATGATATTCGGTAATCTACGATCTAGCAGTCTATATCATTTGATACTAGAATTATTGGCGCTGCATATTTTTCTACCAATAGATCTTAATCAATATCTGAATTTTATAGATGAAAATGTGCAGAAACAAACAATAAGTACATAACGAACGATTAGTTTTCTTGTTTTTCTCCGAAATGATGACTTTTTGGTCAGCACGTTTACATCCTTGATATCATTGTGTATTAAACTCGTCTAAAAATATTTGAAATTCTCCTAGAATAGTCATGATTATCTGTTTTTTTCAAACTTATCATCAATATTAATGTTTGATCTGAAATGAGATTGTACAAGGGAGTTGTTCGCTCATAATTTGTTCTATTCGATACTGGATTCATCTGAATCATGCATTTAACTATTCTATTGACGTTCTCTATCATATTTGATTTCATTCCGTCAATAATATAACGTAGTCCATATTATCTTACTGCCATTAGTTTTGTTGCTCTCAACCGTAATATCAAAGTTTCCCTATTGAATCATATAGCAACTGAAAGAGCTAATTAAGACTAACATTTTAGTGCTAGTTTGATGATGTTTTGATCGAATTTGGAAAACATAAATCTTTTACCAAAGTAACTCATTTTTAGTCATTAATCCAGTAATTGATTCTATTACTGTGGGTTCAATTTGAAAATAAGTAAACAAGATAAGATAGCACCAAAATTATGAACTGGATAGCTCTTTGATAGAGCTTCAATTGTATATATATATCGTCAATTGATTATTAAATTCAATGAGATATCGATCCGCTTTACTGATAGACACTATCTCATCATATTTGCTATATTTATCGTCTGTTCTTATCTTTCAAAAAATATTTTAGTTTAAAAATTCAAAATACCGAAATCTTGGTCTTACTCATTTGATAGCTCTTTTCGAAAGATACAAGATCATATATTTTCCGAAGTCAAAAAATATGGCCACTTGAAAAATTCCGAAGTACGATTTTGTACATTTTTGACTAGTATTTCGCCACATTTTGTTACAAAAATGGCAGTCTAAGTCAAAACTAATATCATATTCGGAATCAGCATGAAAAATTGAGCCGATTCATATATGTTTCAAATATTTCTAAGACATTTGTTTTCTTCGAAAAATTTACCCCTGGTCTCCACAGGACTCAGCCAAAAAATGAAGTCCGTCAAAATGGCATTTGGACGTCATAAACAAATGTCAAAAGTTGTTTATAGTTATTAGATACCAAAATGCCAGGTATTTATATAAAGAAAGCAGCGTTTTGAATGATTTCATCTTTTAGTTGATCCCTGAAGAGGGGGAGCAGGATAAATTTTTCGAAGAAAAAAAATAGTCGAGAAAATCATTAAATTATACATAGACTAACTCAGTTTTTTATGCTGATTCAAAATATCATATTAGTTTGGACTCAAATTGTACTTTTTCTGATCGAAATCTTCAAAATATTAATAAAAAACACGCGAAATCGTATCTCGAGAAGAGTGTGTTTCGAAGTTTTTCAAGTGGCCATATTTTTTTCACTTTGGAAAATATATGATTTTGTATCTTTCGAAAAGAGGTATCAAACGAGTAAGACCAAGATTTCGATACTTTCAATTTTTAAACTAAAATAGTTTTTGAAAGATAAGAGCAGATGCTTAATATAGCAAATATGATGATAGTGCCTGTCAGTAAAGTGGATCAACATCTCATTGAATTTAATAATCAATTGACGATTTATATATACAATTGAAGCTCTATCAAAGAGCTATCAAATCCATGATTTCAGTACCATCTTATCTTGTTTACTTATTCTCA